GGGGGGCTGCAGAGGGGCCGCGGGCAGGGCAGGTGTGGAACATCACGTGTCCAGCAGATCCGGCTGACACAGGAAGACTGGACACCCATTTCTTGCTCCCCAAATCTCACCCCCAAACTGTGGCTTTTCTGTGTACGGATGCTGTGTGGGGAGCTGGAAATGAGAGGAGGAGGGACAGAGAATGTGTAGAAACCAAACGAAACGTGGCAGCTCGGGAGCTGTGGCACCTAGGGCCACGTCCTCCATTTCCTCATCTGCACGACGGGGCAGGTGCGAGGCCCCCGAGACGCCACGTGTGGAGGAACGGTGGGGAGTTAAAGTGCTGTACCGAGGCCAGAGGCTGTGGTCATCTAGGTGCGTAAGGCTGAACGTGGCTGAGACGGCGGTGAGACGGAGCCCTAGGGCCGGCCGGCCCTCCCCTCTGCCTCCTCGGCCTGAGCTCCACCTTCTCAGCCTCAGCTTTCAGGAGGAAGAGGCCTCATCTCAGATGGAGTCCCCGGGCTGGGGTGAGAGCAGAGGGTGCGGCCAGGAGGACCTAGGGGCACCGAGGAGGGACCTCAAGGGGGCAGTGTGGCGCGTTGGCACTACCGGTGTCGGGCAGACGTGGAAGTGGCTTCTAGTTCTTACCCACGGGCTTGGGCCCACAATGGGATTGGCGTCTCGATGCAGGGGGCAGGGCCCAGCCTTGGGGTCAGGACGCCCAGAAGTCCTGGTCCTGGGTCATCTCCCCATGGCGGCCCTTGGGCCTGTGGCTTGTCAAATGGGGACACGAATCCCTACCCTGCCTGGCTCACCAGTTAAAGGGGAGAATGTGCAAGAGCTTTGCAGAGAGTGGCGGGAAGGCAAGGGGTATGGCCTTGGAGAGCAACCCTGAGTCCCTGAAGACGGGGGAGGAGGAGGCAGGGTGGAGCGGGCTGATCACTGCCCAGCCAGGCGACTTGGGCTGCCAGGACGCGAGGGCGGTGGGAGGGGAGGAGAGCTTCCGCCTGCAGCCCAGCCCTGACTCAGTGGTCCTGACTCAGTGGTCCCACAGAGGTTCCAGAGTGTCCCCCACCCCCGCAGGGGCAAAGTTCAAGTTCTAAGCCTATCTGGGCTTCTGCGTCTCCCTACTCCCTGGTCCACGCCACCGTGGGGAGTCCACAGTCTTCAGTCCCAGCTGAGGGGCAGACTGGCTCCTGGGGGGGCAAGGGGGTCTCCAGGAGAGGCCAGGGACTTCGATTAGCGTGAGGTCAGGAGGTCAAAGGTCGGCTTCCAGTTGTCGAGGTGGCAGGAGGGGTCCACAGGCTGGCCCCAGCTCCAGTCCTGATTCTGTCTCTGGGGCCACTGGGTAAGGGGACAGGAAGGGACGACAGGAGCGGAGAGACTGGCTCGCACACAGCCGCGGGGCTAGCAGTTCTTGGGGCTGTTGCGCAAGTTCTTCAGTTCCAGCTGCAGCTGCCGGATGCGGACGTCCTTCTGGGCCAGCTCCTCCTTCAGCCGCCGGATCTCATCCTGCTGCCGGAAGAACATTCGGAGGAGCTGGACGGGAGAAGAGAGGGCGGGGCCAGGGAGAGAGCAGGTGAGGAGAGGAGCTTCCTTCTGAGGTCTCCAGATACCTGGCTCCCCCGGGCACCCCGGCTCTGCCTGCCTCCTCATCCTTTCTCAGCTTGCACCTCGGGCATCCCTGAGACGCCGCATCCCTGCAGCTCCCGGGCGAGCTCCACGGTGGCTCCCACTGTCCCTCCAGCCCAGCAGACCTGCCCCATTCACTGACTCAGGGTCATGGAAGGAGCAAAGCCACACGGCCCAGCTTTCCCAACCCCGTGCTCCCCCTTTATCGGGGGCCAGACCTGATGCTGTCCTGTACCAGCCTGGATGGAAACCCTTCTGAGCCGTGTCCTCTCCGTGGGAGGCCCGGGAATGCAGCCTCGCTTTCTCTCCTGATGCCAGCGGTGCCCGCCAGCCTGTGTGGCCGTGACTCCCCTCCCAGGGCGGGCCTCAGACAGCTCCCGGCTAAGCAGCCTCCTCTTCTGCCCACCCCACTGACCGGCGCCCACGAAACACAGAGCCCTGGTGCTCGGGGACTCCCGGAGCCCTGCGCACACGAGCAAACGTGTGTCCTCGAACTTCCTGGGGCAAGTCCCCTTGTCATTCTTCCATAATTACTAAATCTGACCTAAGCTGGTGAGCGTGAAACGAGAGTTGCTGTTCCTATAAACAGCGTAAACGTTTTAGAGAACCTTGATAAAGGTGAGGCTGAAGCACTGTGGCTGAATTAGGTGTGGACGGTATAATTGGTCAAGATTGCAAATACTTTACGTCTTCAATCATCTGATAGTGGCTGCATGCTCTGTGTAAGTCTCAAACTCATGGGACCAGTGCCAGTAGGAGTGTGGTGTTAAGGCAGCTGGAGCCCACAGAGTAGACGGCATGGTTTGAGTCCCAGACCTGGAGGCTTGAAAATCACACCAGGCATGTGTGCATGCATGCCCAAAATCCTGAGAGGAAAGTGGAGGAGAAGGGATTGTGGTGTGGCCATACCCCGGGAGTGATTTTTTTTTTTTTTTCACTCTCTACCCCAGCTCCCGGCGAGTACACGGATCCTAAAACAAAAAATATAGAGTGCTACATTACAGGCCCAGCCACAGTCTCCACGTTGGGCTCTGCTGCTAAGAGGCAGAGGCCACACGGGAGGCTCAGAGCTGCCTCCTAGCCCACCCTAAAAGCCATTGCCGTGGTGCATGCATGCATCCCAGCTACTCAGGAGAGTGAGACAGGAGGATCTTGTGAGTGAGCCTCTGTCTAAAACACACCACACACACACACACACACACACACACACACACACACACAGTTGTACATTACCATAGGTAAATTATACCGTAGTTCACTTGTCCCCTGAAAAGATTAGAAAAAACATGATAAAAACTAGGGCTTTGCCTTCAGATTGGCTTTAAATTCATGTTCCACCTAAAGGAAACTGAAACTGGAAATTGGAATTAAGGTATGAGCTATGCGAGAAAGATACGGCAGATTCCAACCAGAGGCCTCCTCCAAGAGATGGTAGTCCTGCATTAAAATATGCTGAATGAATGCATGTATTTTATGTTTTTATTTTTAGACTTTTGCTACAGGGTGTCTGTGTTCACTGGAGAGAGACAGAGACACAGAAAGAGGGAAAGTGAGACCCCACCTCCCCAGGCGGGATGACCACACCGCAGTCCTGTCTCCTCCATTCTCCTCTTAGGATTTTGGGTGTGAACGCACATACACCCGCTGTTTTTTAAGCTGCAAGGTCTGGGACTTGAATTGTGGGTTGACCATGTGGGATCCAGTGTCTTAACCACCAAGCCACCGTTTCACAGTTTAAATACAAGTAAGTGGTTTAGGAATATACGTATCGGGCTGGCCCATGGTTCCACCATGAACTGCTGTGCATGGGAAGTGAGATCCCACGTGGCCAGCCGAGGCTTGAAACCTGGCCCAGGGTGCTTGAAAACTGGTCTGGGCGTGTGTGTGTGTGTGTGTGTGTGTGTGTGCGCGCCCAAAATCCTGACGAGGAGTAGTGAAGGGAATAGTAGTGATACAACCATCTCCCATTGGGGGGCGCTTTCCCGTGCACTTCCTGGCAATTAAAAATAAAATGAGTGTATGCATCATTTTTATAATTCCCTCCTTTAACGGACTTTTTTGTTCTTCTTTATTTTTTAGAGGTTTTTGCCTTAGGGCGTGTGCACTTGCTGGAGAGAGAGAGACAGACACCGTGAGGGGGAAAGTGAGAAACCACGTCCCCGGGGGAACGGCCACGCAGCAATCCCTTCTCCATTCTCCTCCCAGAATCCTGGGCACGCACACACATACGCCCAGTGTGAGTTTCAAGCCACTGGACCTGGGACTTGAACTGTGGTCGGCCGTGTGGGAGTCCAGTGACATAACTACTATGCTGCTGGCCCCTTTAGTCTTCTTTTTCTTAAGACAGGGTCCTGCCATGGGGTGATCCTCCTGTCCTAACCTCCCTGCCGGGGTTACAAGCACACACCACCATGCCTGGCTTTTTAAAATTTTTTGAGAGATTTTTGCTATATGGTGTGTGTGCTCGCTAGAGAGACAGAGACAGAAAGTGAGAAATCACCCCCCAACACACCAGGGGCGATGGCCATGCTGCAATCCCTTCTCTTTCATTCTCTTCAGATTTGGGGCACATATACACACTTGCCCAACGTGAGTTTAAGGCATCAGGTCCAGGACTCGAACCATGGTCAGCCGCGTGGGGGAGTTCAATGCCTTAACCACTATACCACTGGTGGGCTGGCCCCCTGTCTGGCTTTAAAATAGACAGGATCTTGCTTTGTTGTCCAGGCCAACCTGAACTCCTGATCCTCCTGCCTCAGCCTCCCGGTCCCTGAGGTTACAGCCGCACACCACTAAGCCCCGGTTTAACTGACTTAAAACAAATGCTCGACCCTTAAGCCCCAGTCTTGATCACACCTTTTCAGAGAGAATAGGCTATTTCCCACTACCCTAAATGACGACGCCCTCTTGTGCCTTCTGACTTCTCAAACTATCTTCGCATACTTTCTGATCCACTTTTGTCAAAAAGCAACTTTAACCGGGGCAATGCGCACACTGTAAATCTCACTCATGTTAAGTGCAGTCAGGGGTTTTTAGTAGTTCCTGAGCGTCCTCCCCCGTGTCGAGCTGTCCCTTCACATTAACCAGCGTGTCTCCCTTTCACAGTCCCCTTTCTAACTGGTTGCTTCCAGTCAGCTGGGATGATTACGCCTGTGGGGTAAAGCCAGTCGCCAGGCTCTGAGCAAGCGTCTTCCCAACGAGGACGGCCATGGCTTCCGCGTAGAGATGGTGGAGCCCGTCTGTCTGCTCAGAGACCCGTGGAAAGCTCCTCCAGGGGCTACGCACCGACTTGCACAGACAGGTCCAGAGCCGAGTGCTGCCTGACTAAGCGGCTATTCCCTGCCTCCAGACCCAGTGCCAGAGCCAGCGCAGGTCCCGGGGCTGCCCACCGGGCTGCTGCAGCAGCCCCTGCAGCCCGACCTTCACAAAGCAGGGCACCTCTCAAACACACGCAGACCTTCTTGCTTCATCTCGACCTGGACCACTTCCCCTGCACCCCACTCCTGGGATTATGTTGAAGCAAATCCCATTTGTCACACGCTGCCGCCCAGCCCTAGAAGTCTGAGTATCCCTCTACGGTGTCACGGAAACATCTTTCATGGCCATGAGCAGTTATCTGCAGTCTTCCCTTTAAGACTGTGAGGCCTCAGAAGTAAAGAGTAGTCTTATTTTTTTCTTTTAAATATATGTTTTTTATTCTTTCTGCCAGAGGGTGCATGTGCTCACCAAAGAGAGACAGAGAGAGAGAGGGAAAGCACTCCCCACCCCAAATGGGCGCGGTCACACCACACACCGTTCTCCTCCATTCCTTCATACATTTGGGATTTGGGGGCACACACGCACATGTACCCGGTGCGGTTTTCAAGCCACTGGGGCTGGGATTCGAACCATGTAGTTTGCCATGTGGGGCCCAGCTCTCTTAACCACCAGGCCACAAGGTCAGCCCACAGATAGACTTATTTTTATTAGCCACAGCACCGTGAGTTGAGACAAGCAGCCCCTGTGATGGCCCTGATGTCGTCTCCTCCTCTCCAGGGTGGACAGCCCTAGTCGCTCGCTTCAGACAGAATGTGATCGATGTGACAGAGTGTCGTTTCTAAAATCTGGCTATGAAAAGACCGTGGCTTCCCTCTTGGACACTCTTGCTCTTGTGCTCATAAGCTCTGAGGGAAGTCAGCAGCCGTGTTATGAACTACCCTATGGAGAAGTTCGTGTGGTAAGGACCCGAGGGAAGCTTCTGGCCAGCAACCAGGAGGAACTGAGGCCCTTAGTCCAAGAGCCTTTGAGGGTATGGGTCCTGGCAGCAACCATGTGCATGCACCAAGGTCCACCTGAGTCCAGGCTTCAGGTACGACTGAAACCCCAGCTGACAGCAGTTAGGCACTCATGACAGACCTTGAGCCACAGGCATCCAGAGCCCACGAGAGAATAAATATCTAGGTTTAAGTCACTAAGTTCTGGGGTAATTTGTTACACAGCTATAGCTAGCTGATACAGTTAGCTTCTTTGAGTGCTTTGTGAGTCAGGAAGAGTGTTAGACACTTAACAGATTTTCTCTCTAATGCATGCAGCATTTCCCAGAGGGAAATGGATTTAGGTCAGAGCCTTGCTCAGTCACAGCTGGGAAATGGCAGTACCAGGATCCACGTGCAGCTGAGCCTGGGCAGCCATCTCTGTACTGGATGTCTCTTAGCCGAGCTGACCTGCCCTGACACCCAGGGCTGGGGCTCCAGGTTGGAAGGAGATGCCTCCAGGGGCCGCTGACAAGGCCCAGCCCTTGCTGTCCCAGAAATGCTTGCTCCCATTCCTAATGGTACAAAATCACGAACACCCAACCTCTCCCACAAAGACAGGTAGCATCAGCCCATCACTGCAGCTCTGCGGGGAGGAAGGCGGAGCTGTGATGCACAGGGCCAGGCCTGTCCCTGCGAGTCAGGAATTTACAACTCCGGGAACACACATGACAGCTGCCTCCGCAGGAGACACAGCTCTGTGGGCTGGAGCATCCGAGGTGGGGGCGGGGCGGAGAACCAGCCTCTCCCGACATCCAGCCTCTATTTATGGGGTCAGAGGCCACAGAAGCCAATGGCAGGCTACTTACGGTATTTGTCATGGAAAGAAAAATGCCTGGGAATGGAGCTGGCTGAGCGGGCTTCGAGTCTGTAATTGGACTGGAGAGGTCTCTCTTGCAGAGGTAATAACTTATATTCCTTACCTCGTTCTCTGTCCTGGGTGGGACATTTTCTAATAAATCTATTCCATTGACCACAACGCTCTTCTTTTCTTTGATGGGAGCCTTAAATACCATCTTTGAGGACTTCTTATAACCTTCTTTCAAAGACATCAACACGGGATCTAAGAAAGGCAAGGGGAAGGGACTCACCGACAGTCTGACGGACTGCCAGCTGCCGAGCCTCCCTGACACGCTGCCCGACAGCGGCTGAGTGTGAAGGGGAGCCCAGACGGAGCGTACTCAGGGGGCTGCGGCCCTTTTTGGGGAAGCCTTTCCCCTGCGGTACCTCGGTTGATGCCGCCCAGCCATTCGTCTGGGGTCAGAGCTGGCTCCGTGCCTGGTGTCATGGGGTAGATGTCCTCCTGGTAGGAATCCGACTGCAGGGGAAGAGCAGTGGGCAGCTGGGGGCTGCCGGGAGACCCCTGCTCTGCAGTGAAACACTCCCCCCACTGGCCTCCAACCCTACTCCCCACCTCCAAACCTCTGCACTCCGAGGGGTCCTCACCTGGAATTCCCTCACCATTCCTGAGCAAGCTGACTGTCCCCAGTGGAGCAGGCACCCACCTCCACCCCAGACTGGGCCCAAAGACCCGGGTCCACAGCATCTCCTGCATCTGGGTCCCTCTAGGCGTCCGGGCAGTGGCGAGGGGGCGAGGGTTCAGCACAGGGGCCCTTCGGAGCCCGGCTCAGCCTCACTCACCCTCCGGGGCACGATCATGGAGATGGGCTCGATCAGGCCCTTGAGCGTCACCAGCTTGTAGAAGCGGAACACCTCGCAGGCCGACACATCCAGTCCATGCTTGGGCATGACCCCTGCGGGCAGGCACAGGGGCTCCGTGGGTCCAGGGCTCCCCCTAAACGCCCCTCCCACCTGATGTCCACAGCCGGGGAAAGGTTAATGGGGACAGTGCTTCGGTGTGGAGGCAGCGACTGTGCAAAGGGCAGGGGGCGTGCTGGGGCTGCCTGGGTCACTGGTGCTGTCTCTGGGTGGTCCCTTCTCAAATAAGCCCCTGGGCCAGGCCCGCCCCCATGGTGCACTTCAGAACAGGGGCTTTTCAGAACTGGCAGAGGCTGCAGAAATACTTGCATCTACCTACTCTTCTGTAAGGGTGGAGGGCACAGGGCTGCCCAAGGTCACAGCACAGAAGGGCAGGGCCTCAGAGCCCAACGCCTTCTGAGATGCCAAAATGAAGGGTCTTCCCTGAGCCTCTAGGTCTCTGCAACTCAGAGAGGAAGGGGGAGAAGCCACCTCCTCATAGCCTCAAGACTGCTGCTGGGGACCAGCAGTTAGTATAATGGCTATGTCGCTGAGCTCCCATGTAGTCAACCGCGGTTCAAGTCCTGGACCCATTGGCTTAAACTCACGTCATGCATGTGTGCGTGCGTGCCCAAGATTCCAAGAGGAGAATGGAGGAGAAGGGATTGCGGCATGGCCATCGCCCCTGGGGGATGATTTCATGCTTTCTGTATCTCTGTCTTTCTGTCTCTCTGGCGAGTGCATGTGCCCTGTAGCAAAAACCTCTCCAAAAAAATTAATTAATTTAAAAAGACTGCTGCTGTTGCAGGTTTTCAAGAACCACTGGTGTATGCACGCCTTGTCAGTGCGCTCACCAGCCAGTGTCTCTAACGGTGTCATCTGCTGAACACCTGCTACGGGGAGGGACAAGTAGGGCCGTGTGAGGTGCTAGCTCTGCAGTCAGACAAGCCAGTTTGAATCCTGACTCTGCCTCTCTTTCCAGCTGGTGGTCCCCGGGCAAGTCACTAACTCTGAGCTTCTGCTCCTTGGCTGCCGAGAGAAGGACAGGAGTGGCCCCACGGAGGGTTTGGGGGACTCAGTGGGAAGATGCTCACTGCACACCCGCCCCATTATAAGCACAGCTGAGACAGACGGGAGCTACGGCCTCCCCTACATGGAATGCAAGGCTGCTCTTCAGGTGAAGGACTCTAGGAACCGCGGCGGGCCGGGAAAGGTTACCCAGGTGGGGGTCTGAATTTGGTCTCTGCGCTTAGCTGTTCCAAGGCCTGCCTGGGGTGAGTTACTTAACCTCCCCAGACCGGAAAGCACCTGTCACACAGTAACAAGCTGCAGGAGAGGGGTCACCGCGGAGGCTGTTCTGGGGTGAATGGACCCCGCGTCACTGACATGCACTGCGGTGCTGGTGGATGGCAGTGAGAACGTGTTGAAGACTCGAGGCGGCAGAAGGTGGGCTGCAGAGCACCCTGCCTGGCCTGCTAATCCTGGAGCCCGCTGCAGAGAACACGGGGGGGCTTGGCTGTCATCGGGGGAATCCTGGGACCTCCTCCTGCCCTTTCAGAAAGGATGGAGCTGGCTTTCCAGAGGATCAGGAAGGGACCGGAGTCTAGATGCCCTATGACCACCTCCTGCCAATGCCAGAACCCCCGGAGCTGCGGTCAGGATGGAGACGCCCCTGCAGCCTGCTGGAGGCCCAGGGACGAGCCAGGGCCTGGTGACAGTGTCGGTCAGGAGGGCAGTGACAGGCCGGCTGCAGAAGGGCCGCTGGCCTTCCCCAGGGGCAGCACCTGTGGGCCCTTTGGATGTGCCCAGGAGCCAGGGCCTGCTAGGTCTGGCCTTCCATCTGGGGGACCCCTTACCCAGGCCTTTCTGCGGGGCAGGGGAGCGGAACTCCATGAGGTAACTCAGGTAGGGCTTCTCCGTGCTGATCTCGTAGTACCGGATGTTTCCGTCCCCCTGGGGCAGGAGAGAGGGCGGTGAGGGGTGGGAGGGCACAGGCCCTGGCCCCCGGAATCTGCTGAAGACAAGGCAATGCTGAGCTCCAGCGTGGTCAGGACCAGGGAGGCCATGGGGGCTTGCTGGGTGTGGAGGGGTGGGCTGGTGTGTGTGCGTGTGCACACGCTCGTGCGTGTGTATGTGTGTAGTCAGCTTATCTAATGAAAGAGCTCCTGGCAAGTGTATCAGACCCCACCACCACCCTTGCCTATACCTGGGGTTTCAGCCTTAATTCCAGTGTAAAACCCTGCTCTAGCTGTTCCTAGAATGCTCAGTCAGATCTGGGTACATCTGCGTATCAGGCCAGCTGGTGGCGTGCTGGCTAAGGTGGCTGGATCCCACATGTGTGACTCCATGGTTCAAATCCCAGACCTAATAGCTTGAAAAACAAGCTGGGCACGTGTGCATGCATGCCCAAAATCCTGAAAGGAGATGGAGGAGGGGATTGTGGCTTGGCCACCCTCCTCTGTAGGAAGGGTGCTTTCTCACCTCCCTCCCCACCGTCTCTCTCTAGTAAGCGCACATACCCTATAGCAAGCGGTAAAAGGAACGAAAGAATGAGCGTCAGGCCTGGGTGGGTGTTAACGGAAGAGGTGAGACCCAGGACGGGGTTGGGTCAGGGGAGCCTCTACATGGCAGGCAGCAAGAGCAGGGCACGGTGGGGCCAGGGGCTCACAGCTGGCCAGCCTCCCCCCTCCCCCCGCGTACTACCTTTCCAGCCAGGTACAGCATGTGGGTGTCAGCATCGTAGAAGGGGAACAGGAGGCCCGACAGCCCATCGATTTCCTCCTCGATCAGGGGCATGGCCAGATCCTCCTGTGGAAGGGGCTAGTATCAGCCTAGGTCCCCTTCCCAGATCCTGCACACTCCCCACCCCGCCCAGGGCTACCCTTTATGTCAAGACCCACTCCCACGCCCCTCAGATGTTAACAAGTCTGTCCTTAGGCTAGCAGGCGACATGGTGGTTAAGGCTCTGCACTCCCATGTGGCCAAACACGGTTCGAGTCCTGGACCTGGCAGCTTGGAAAGCACACTGGGTGCACGTGTGTGTGTGAGTGCGCGTGCCCAAAATCCCAAGAGGAGAATGGAGGAGATCCCCCTGGGGGGTGATTTCTCACTTTCCCTCACACCCACTCTATGGGTCGGGGCAAGCTGAATTCCTTGTCATGAAAAGCAGCCGAGGGCAGTGGAAAGGGCCCTGCCCTAATGGAGACCTGAGGCCATACCTTGCCGGGGCCCAGATCATCATCAGCCTGTTCACCTCGGGGTGAGTGCAGAACCCTGTCCTCTCCCAGCACACTACTCGCTGTGGGTCCCCAGGTAAATCCCTCCATCTCTGGAGTGCAGTCCCCAGATCCGATAAAGAATGCAGTGGACACCCTGAGGCCCTTCCACGTCCAGGCGCCACCTCAGGGGGGCCTCTGAGTCCCTGCTGGTGATGTCGTCAAAAGCAGGGTACACGGCCCAGGCGCCCAGACTCCCAAGGAAGTGGCCCCAAGGTCAGTGGGTGCCTCTTTTAGCCTGAACCCAGTAGGCTGCTCCTGGGTGCTCCGACCGCCTGCCACCCATGTCCCCTGCACTGCGGTGCCCTCACAGCTGTGTTCAGGACAAGTGACCTTCCCAGACACTGCTCTCCAGTTCCCTGCTTAACTGACAAGAGACAGACATTGTCCAGGGCACACAGAGCTGAGGCCCTCTCTGACCGCCAGGCCTGCCCTCTGGCCCTGCCTCTGTATTGGGCGTGTGTCTTGAGCGTGGGTGCCGATAGCCGGGGGTGGGAGCAGGGCTGGGTGGGAGCAGGGCTGGGTGCCAAGCTCTGTAGTCCTCCAGGGCCTTGGAAAGGTATGGCCTCGGGTCTCCCATGCCCAGTAAATCCCACCTGGGTTCAGGGTGAAATGACACGCAGAGGAGGAAAGGGCTAGAATGAGGCTCCCCAGACCACAAAACTCACTCTGCTCCCGCCCCCTCTGGGAAGCAGAGACCCCGTGAGCTCAGACCCAGGCCCTCTGGAGCACCCTGCCTCCGACTCCTGCCACCCCTGGCTGACCTGGTCCCACAGGGCGATCTGCCGTGTGTTCCACCTGGAGACCCCCGTGGTGAGGAGCCGCTTCATGTTCCCCAGGAACACCACTCGGTTCACTCTGTGGTTTTTGCAGTTCGCCTCCTGCAGGGAAAAAGAGAGCCGGTGAGCCGGGCCCCCCAGCACCTGGCTACTGTAGTTGCCGAGCGTAGCCCCCTAAAGATAGCTTAGGTCGTCATCGCCGGCCCCCGGGGTGTGCCCTTATTTGGAAACGGAGTCCTTGTAGAGACAATGGTCAGGCATTCTGAGCCGAGGTTCCCTTGGGTTATCCAGGAGGGCTGAAATGCTGTCGTGAGCATCCTTGTGATGATCATACAGACATGGAGGGAAGGCGACGCGGACACAGCAGAAGGTACTAGGAGATGCAGCTACGAAGCAAGGAAGCTGCAACCCCCAGACGCCAAAAGAGGCCAGGGCCGGTCCCGTGAGCCTCTGCAGGGGGTGCAGCTGTGCACCAGCCTGGCTTGGGACATCCAGCCTCCAGAACTGTGAG